AGACATAAGGTCATTTTACTTTTTCTTGTCTATTTCATCAGCTTTATTTGAATAACAGGCTGGGTTGAGTTGGGCTTTTTAGTTATGGGAGAATTATATAAATAGATTTATATACATTTACTGGGCCATACCAGGCAAACTTATTTGGAAATTCAGAGTAACTTTAGTTTTCCAAATGACTATTTGGATATTTTAAAAAACAGTTATATTTCCTTCACCCAAAATGTATAACCAGTGACAATATGTCTAGAAACACTTTCTTGGAGCTGTTATAGTATCTGTGCTATTTTTATCTTGATCATTTGAAATTCACTTTTGCAATCATCTGACTCTCTAGTTGGGGCTTCCTAGGTGGTTCAGTGGAAAAGAATCCACCTGCCAATGCAGGAGATGCAGTAGACCTGAGTTTTATCCCTGGGTCAGGAAGATCCCCTGGAGGAGGAAATGGCAACCCACTCCAGTATTCTTGGCCTGGAGAATCCCATGGACAGAGGAGCCTGGTGGACTACAGTCCATGGGGTTGCAAAGAGTTGGACACAGCTGAGCACATGTGCACACTGCGCGCGCGCACACACACACACAGATTTAAGTCTCTAATTATAATCTAGTATCTCTGGGAGGCAGGGTGGTAGAAAGAATCTTAGGGTCAAAGCTAGGAGGCCTGGCTAGGATTTGCTTCTGGGATAGATCTGTGCCTATTGGCCCTAATAAGAACTAGGATTTGATTGAGTGCTTACTCTAGTGTGGGCATAATGCCAGTCACTTTCCACGAATTATTTCAGTGATCCTGTGAGCCATTGTTTTTTCTATCGCCACTTTACAAATGAAATTTGTGGAGCATTCATGTAAGTTTCTCAAGGTCATACAACTAAGACGTGGTGGATCTGGGCCACTTCCATCTGCCTTCAAAACCCAGACTCTCAGCCACACACACCAAATTGAAAACCACTGAATCTTTCTGGGTCTCAGTTTCCTCATCTGTAGGTCATGTAGGCTGAACCACGTGATCAATAAATAGTTCCCAGCTCTGAATTTTTTGAATTCTCATCCGGCCAAGAAAACGGATGTAGGAACTTATGTTTGCTATATATTTTAGCCTCAAAGTGGCTAGAAGCATCCTCCAAAATGTGATGCTGAAAACATTGCGAATAGCTAAACAGCATGCAAGGAAGTAATTGTCAAATGGATACCAGCTGTGAAAGCTTTTCAGCATTTCAACAACCCATGGGGGTATTTTTTAAGAGCAATAAACTAAGTGGCTAAGTGTGTTGCCCACAGAGCTGAGATACATATCTAAACCCCTGAGAATTTACTGTGTTTCCAGGGTCCAATACATTCTCTATCTTAGGATAATTGCCTGAATACAGCAGACAGAATCTTTATGATCCTTGCTTGAGACCGTTCATATTTTTTGGTCTTGTTGTTAAACAAAAAATATTTTACCAGAGCATCACTTGGTTTATTCGATACTTGTTTCTCTAAGTTGCCACCTGCTCTGCCTTGTGTCATTCACTAAAAGTCTTTAGTCGGCTATTAATGCTGTAGACATTGCATTAGTTTGTAAAATAAATGAATAGGTGTTTACTTCCAAATATATATGTGAATATATATACATATATATATTTCCAAATCTTTCCTCACCCTTTCTTGCTCTATAGTAATTCATCAAGCCTTGTTTAAAAAAAAAAAATTAGTGACCTGTCCAGTCATTTATAATGCTAATAACTGTCAGTCATTGATATTTCTTAATGTGAACCGAGGAATTTATGTTGAAAAGTGATCTCATTCATTTTTCACTACTAGTTTAAATGGAGTCTGGCTTTGCTCATAAAGCTAAAACATCTAAGCCAATGTAGCCAATGTCACAATGACAACAACAAAAATCAATCAAGTCAATTGCTTGGCAGTCTCACGATTAGGCAATCAGTTGATGGGCTGAACGTTCTGTTTTCAACTTGCTCTTGTAGTGCTGCTACTACACTTGCCTAATGCTATGACATAGAGTCTCTCAAAATTCAGTTCCCAGGTCTGCAACTTCAGCATTGCCTGGGAATTTGTGAGAAATAGAAATTCTCTGCTCCTAGCCCAGACACAATGAATTAGAAGTTCTGGGGGTGGGACCCAGCAAATTGTTTTTAGGAGAGACAATTCTGATGCTTCCTAACTTTTGAGAACCATAATAGCATCAACGGTTTAAGTGGTTTAAACGAAATCGGTGATTCTTATGGTTGCCCAGGGGAAGAATGAGGGGAAGAGATAGGGAATTGGGAATCGACATGTACCCACTGCTATATTTAAAATGGATAACCAACAAGGTCCTACTGTATAGCACAGGGAACTCTACTAAATGTTATGTGACAGCCTGGGTGTAAGGGGAGTTGGGGGAAGAATGGATGTATATGTATGGCCAAGTCCCTTTGCTGTCCACCAGAAACTATCACAATATTGTTAACAGGCTATACTCTAATATAAAGTAAAAAGTTTAAAAAATTTAAAAAAGCAATAAGTAATAATTGTCATCATAGAATAACCCAAAGTTTCACCTACTTATTGATTCAGTCCTTTAAAAATACACCTAGTGTTAATGTGTTAGTAGCTCAGTCATATCTGACTCTTTGTGTCCCCGTGGACTGTAGCCCGCCAGGCACCTCTGCCCATGGGATTCTCCAGGCAAGAATACTGGAGTGGGTAGCTATTCCCTTCTCCCGGGGAGCTTCCCAGTCCAGGGATTGAACCTAGATCTCCCTCATTGCAGGCAGATTCTTTACCATCTGAGTCACCGGGGAAGTTCAAAAATACATCTAAGAAAATGTTAACTACAAAAACAGCCCCTGAGAAAACTAGGTTCATTGATGTTTTCATTACAAATAATTTTGTTTTCTTTTCTAACCTCTGAAATCTGTGAAAATTTCATATAAACTGAGATGTGCTAACTGAACTCAGGAATTGTGTACTGACGTTTTCAGTTGTGAATGATCATTGCACATTCATCTCTTTTTAGGTCAGACACACCAGTGGTTTAAAATTCTTATTTCCCTTATAGAACATGCCAACTCTAATTTAAGGCTCTCTTGGGTTTATAATCCACAGCGGTGCCAGTGAAAATTTGGAGTTTTAGGTGTGATTTTTTTTTTTTTTTTTGGTAGATTTTCCTACTGGTTAAGGAAAACCACCCAGCTACAAAAAGCTTCAGGAAATGTTATACAGATGCCACCAAAGGAGGACAAACTTAGAAGAGTCATGTTTTTAAAGAGTACGTTTTTAATAGTTAAGATTTTAAAAATTCAAGATGTCAGGGGAAAAAACATCAAATGTCTTAACCATGAATTTATTTGGCCAACACAGCAATAAACTACTCATTTTATGAATCAAATGGTCTCAACACCCAGAAATATTCAAAGGTGTGTTTAAGGGTTAAATTGATAATGCTTAAATTATAGATTTTTTTTCCTGATCTGGTCTACTGAGGTTGAATGAGTACTGAAGTGGACTCAATTTCTATTCTCAATTCATTCAGTTCTTTCGCTAGGAAGCTACTTCTGTATCTTCAGGTTTCAAGGCTGTACTTGCCTCTTTTCCATGATAAGAGCACCACCTAGCGTACACATTAAAAATTCCCTTTAAACCAAACCTGAAAATCGGCCTTAGAACACCATCCTTCCCTAAACAAGTTAGGATTTTCAACAATAGTGTATTAAAGGAGAGAACAACATTCTTACTTTAAAAATTATACCAAGGTCAAGATTTCTAATCAGTACGATATTTGAACTGTTTGCTTATGATTAACCTATGCTAAACTAGGTGTTATGAGGATGGTTATACCATGACCATGTAATAGGGTTTGTCTGTAGACATGGAATTATTTCTTTAAAGTATATAATTGGGTCACCAACCATTTTACATAGATTTGGTTAACCAAGAAACATGAAATGCCTTCTGTAAGGGAAGCAGTATAACTAAAAGCATGATAAAAAATAACATTTCTTTTCATTCATTTTGTGCATCAATTTCAAATGTGGATATGTTTTAACATTAAATGGCATGACATTAAATAGAGGATTGGGGGCTTTCCTGGTGGCCCACACAATAAAGAACATGCTTGCAGTGTGGGAGACCCCTGGGTCAGGAAGATTCCCTGGAGATGGGAAAGGCTACCCATTCCAGTATTCTTGCCTGGAGAATTCCATGGACAGAGGAGCATGGCAGGCTACAGTCCTGTAGCCTTGTAGATTGCAAAGAGTTGGACAGACTTAGTGACTAGCACTTCAAGAATGTATTATAATTATAACACTTTGTTTCTGAGGGGCTGCATAAGGAAATAAATATAATTCTCCAACCTTGAACCTATATTTTAGGTCTGAATAGTGTCATTTGTCTGCAAACAGGCTTCTTAGCCACAGGACAATTGCCACTGACTTCTTCACTGTGTTGCTTAGTAAGTAAAGAGAGAATGTTAGTTTCTGGGGTCACCAGTTTACTTTGACAAGTAGAACTTTTGTTTTTAAACACTCTTTTGCTACATTAAAATCTGACTTTTCTCCAATTATTTTATTTTATTTAGCTTATCCAGCAAAAGTATTAACATATACGTTAACAACGTCGAAAGTAGCCTACTTTAAGAGAAAATATGCAGAAGAAGAAGATTTACATCAAGATTACCATGGGTATTTTCCAAAAGTAAGGGTATACTTTAAATTTTGTTTGAGTCTTGTCAATAGCAAAGCCTGTAGTTTTCATTTTTCTAAAATGTCGATTGAATGATGTTTGTATTTGCTTTTCAGCACTTGATATTGCCTGAGGACAGGACTTGCATTCTTAAACTTTCGCTGGAGAAGCTCAGATTTCTTGAAGACCCAGAAACCTACTTGAGAAGGTCTGTGTTAATTAACAATTTGCTGAGGAAGATCCATCTAGAGACGGAGAAAGAGAGCTATGAATACTTTAAAGAAGCTCCCTGTTATAAGACTGCTTATTCTGATACAAGAAAACGGCTGAAGTTTATGGTACAGGAATGCTGTTCTCAGTCTCTCTATTACGAAGAGCTGCATTCGTATCATATTGTGCCTTATGCTTCGGAGAATGCCATTTATGGAATGGGCTACACTAGCAGCCACTTGGAGCAAAATTCTCAGTTGCTTATTTATAAAATGAATTAAATTAACTGTTAAAGTCCATTGATACCTTGTTTCTAAATGCCTGAACTGTTCATAGTGAAGATGTTAACAAAAGGCACTAATTATCAGTGCCCTTGAGATCAGAGATGAGATGCATGCTGAACTGATTGGAGAGAACCCTGGTTATTATTCAGCAGTCCTTAGTATCATCCAGCCAAATTGAAAATATGTCCATGTATTATAAAGCAGAGAATAAGTGCTTTAGAAGCAAAGTTTTCTTGCTTTTTTTTTTTTTTAAGATAGTGTGTGTAGGAAGGGACCTAAACTAAGTTCCTTTGCCGATTTAAACATTTCAAACCACCTATTTCCAAATTCTACCACTTCTCGTGGTAAGTAACAGATTCATATTAAACAGATAATGTCTTGTCCCTGAGGATTAAGGGTGGAACAAATTAAATTTTCTGTAAATGATGAAAGGAAGGGTCAGTCCTTTCTGAAATGCTTTGGTTTGTCAAGCATTGTGCCAAATAATTGACACCATTCTCCTTTTACCATTAGTGACAATTCAAGATGTGGCTAGCCTGCTACAATTTAACTGCTGAATGTTAACAACCAGAACACTCCACACTGATCCATTTACATTTCTTTTTTTTTTTTTGCTTCATAGAATTTTCTCTTTATAAGTGGAATTTATAAAATAGTCTTGCAGATGGGCTTATCTCTAAGTTCTAGGGGTCAATTAAAATTTGTGGTGGGCCTTTAGTTGCATTTAAATTTATTTATGATGTCATATTTACAGGCTGTGAAGCTCAGGAAATGGGTAGGCAGGTCATATTTGATTTTAATAGGCAGATAACTTTAAAGAATATTATCTGCAAAAGAAAATGGTGAGAACAAGAAATCCTACATGATGTTATTTCTTCATCTGAGAGTTCATTTAAGGCTGTCTAGATGAACCTTTGCACTGATTTTTGTATAATAGTCGACCGTTCACTATTTGACAAAACGTTTCAGAATGCCTTTAGTGGTGAAGTTGAGATAAGTTCCTATATTTTGCAATTTGAAAGATAATTAGTTAACAAGTTGCATAGATTCCTGAAATTGTTTGAAATGGTTCATGATGTTCTTTGAGGTTTGAGTGAAATGTCTGATTTCAATGTCTGGACTTTTGTTCCATGGCGCACATCATTTAAAGAATTGTCATTAACTGATAAAACAGATTGGAAAACTAGGTGCCAAAGGTACATTTAAGAAAATACCAAAGACTCAAAGATGAGTGTTAGATAGACTATGATAATGAAGATAAGAACCTAAAGTAAGGATTATACAGGACATGGAAGAACATTGTTAAAGGGATTTGGAATGATATGCTTACTAACGTGCTTTCAGAGCACTTTATACATACATGATAGTAATAGTCAAGGGCACTGCTTGGGCCTTCAGTGGTCTTATGTTTTCACAAATCTAAATATTGTGACTTTTCAACATTGTATCTTCCCTTGTTGAAGGCCATCTTGTAATCAAGAAGGTCTTTATCTCTTCAACAGAATTTTTAGTTTTGATTCACTACCTGCTCCCTGTAATGAATTATCAGGGTGATTAACATGGATGCTTTTGGTATAAAGAATATGTGTCCCCTAATTAGCATGCATTGTTAAAGACCACATAGATACATAACTGATAAAATTATCAGGTTTCTATTTAATTGCTCAGTCAGAATTAGAGAAAAATGATTTGGAACAAATTGAAAACTTATAATTGGGGCTAATTTTTAAGGCAATTTAGTATGAATGGTGAGATAGCTTTGACATACAAATATATTTAAAAATTAATTTAAGGGCAAAATTTGTTACCAAATTTCAAAAACTTTATTTCACTACTTATACCATACCTTACTTCTCAGAATGTGTTTATTAAAATGTAATTTTCTTAAACAATGGAAATATTAATTGAACAGACTCCAAATTTGATAGGATAATTATGTACTTTGAAAAATAGAATTAGTTCTCTAATAGTTTAAAACTTCTTACCAATAGGGACATTTGGCTTGGTTTAGGACAGTATTTATAAGAAAAACACACCAGTGCTAATAGATATGACTTACAAAAATGCAACATATTGAAATTGTTTGACAATATAAATGTGTATACTTTAGGATTGAAAAGAGAGGGGGAGAAAAAATTACCAAGAAAGTGTAATTTTGTAAAATTTGCTGTTTGTCTGAAATCTTAAAGCAAGAACTCTTGGGCAATGAACCTGTAACAGACATAAAGTCTGTTTTATTTGATGACATCATTAACTGAGCTCTCTGAATTTTACATTCATATACAGAGAAGGAACTGTCTTAGAAATCATTGATGTTTGTGAATATGCTTCTCTTTTTTAAGAAATATGTGTTGATTTCAAACCAGGTTATTTAAAAACTATCTTTTAGAGCATTTAATTTCTTTTCCAATAAACAATTCATAGATAAGGAGCTGACTAATGTTATCTTGACTCATTGAAAAATTATAATTTGTGTTTAAACTATTTAAACTTGTCTGAGTTAACCAATAAGATTGCTGTGATTTTTACCATGGCAACCTGTCACATAGGGACCTGCTCTGCTGACTCCATCCTACACGCTCTGTTATGGGCGATGCAAAGGTAGGAAAACAATGACAAGTTTTGAAAACAGTGACAACTTTTTTGAACCTGGACATCTTTTCTTTGGTGACAAGAGCCATGCTTAAGGTAAGAAAGATAGAATGGGAAATGTATAAGACTAATTTTGTGGGGGCCCAAACAGCCTAAAGTTCTCATAAAGAAGAAGAAAAACAAACAGAGGAAAAACAAGAGGAAGAAAAAAGGAGGGGGAGATGCAGAGATATAAGGAATAGAATTAGCAAGTGAAAGCGAAAGTTGTTCCCTGTGAGGGTTGTTGCTTGCTTGCTATGCTCAATTGTTCTTTCCTATGTCTGCTGTACTTCCCAAATCTGAATACCCACAGTGTATTGATCTTTTCCTTTATTCACCAATGATGCATAAGACTAGATTCTATTCAGTATATAGATGATTTGAAATGTGGTACCACTACAAAATATCCTTAAAATGGAACTCCTTGGGTAGATGAGAAAAGGAAAATTAGAAATTAAGTTGGAAGAAAGACTGAATGGTGAGCCGGTGTACATGTGGTTAATCTCAAACACATGAACAGACTTCAGTGAGCATCCCAAGATTTAGTAAAGTCAGTGCTGGAGGACTTGGAAGTAAGTGCAATTCCCCACCATTTATTGAACAAGTTATGAGTTGGGCATGGTGCCAGGGTTGAGGATACATAGGTGAATGATGCACGGTTATTTTGTCCAAGCTGTTCATTGATGAGGGAGGAACTCAGAGATGTTTGGTTTTATTTGAAAATGTAAGAATTCTTTACTGGGAGTAGCACTTGCATTTCTCTTTTCCAAACTATGGGATGGTTATCAAACAAGTCTCTCCAAAGGTGTTTGTAGCTAAGAAGATGCACAGGGAGAAGAGAAGGTATGTTGAGTTAGATTTTAGAGCAGAAGGAAAGTACGTTTTGCTTTGCAGTATATTTTATATTTGGAAGATTGAGAGAAAACCAGTGCTGCAGAAGGGAGGTGTCGCTCATCCCGGCGTCACAAGAGATTGTAGGCAAGGAAGGGAGACCAGTGAAAGTGCAGAACAACTCCTCCTCCCCGACCTCTCTAGCTTTGATGTACTTTTACATGGCAAATCAGGTTAATATTGTCACGGATATCCCTGAAGCGATAGCAGAATCAGGAAATCACAGTCTGAGGGTTGTATATAATGTGTTCAAGGTTAAAGGGCAGTTTTCTTTAATTTGCCTTGTATTGGTAAATTGCTAAAATGAACCTCGGGATTTCTTAACATCAGTTGCTGGAGGCATGCTCCTCTCACAGTTGCTTCCTTTCTGAATCACAGCTCAACCAACCCCTGTCCTTTCAGTCTGTTGGAAGTGGAGCTTATGGTTCTAAAACTCTCTTCCCTCTCTTTTTTAAAATTTTGATTGGTGTATAGTTGATTTAATGCTGTGTTAGTTTCAGATATACAGCAAAGTGAATCAGTTATACATATACATATAACCACTCTTTGTTTTTAAAGATTCTTTTCCTGTTCTCTGTGCTATAAAGCAGGTTATTAGTTACCTACTTTATACTGTTAATACTGATTTGTTCAAAACTATTTGGAAGAAAGCAACAATTTGTAGTCCTGGTTGAACCCCCTTGAGAAGGGTTTACAGAGTGTATCAAACTAGAATCCACCATAGTTTCTGATAAAATTATTTTAAATACTATTTGACATAGTCATTAAATAACTATATACTAAGGTAATCTTTATGTTTCTAGAGTTCAATGTAACAGTTATAATTTCTACATGTTTTGCTAGATACCTTAGGTTGGAAACAATGGAAGATCATGTGTAATTATTTCAAGCAGTTGGTTCATGAGTATTTATGTAATATTTGAAATTTAAATTTATGTTCTTTTTTCCCATCAAACTTCATTACTGTACATCAACAATGTGACATGTCTCATGATTATTATTTCCTTATTAAGTGGGCCATGTCTAAAAGTTTGTACCTTCATGGTTGAACCCTTTGGATTGTATTTCTTCATTAAAGTTTCTGTCTTTCCATAAAGATTATCCTACAGTTGGGTGGATAAAGAACATTCCTCTATATTAACACTTTTCAAATCTTGTGCATACAAGTCACCGGACATCAAGTTAGAATACAAACCCTTTTTAGTAGGCCCGGAGTGGAGTCTGAGAGTCTGCATTTCTCAAGCTTCCTAGATGATGGGGGTGCTGCTGGCTCACTGAACACACTTTGAGTAGCAATGCTCTACATGGTTCTGAGAATGAAAATATACACTCAAGGCTACAGTCTTACTACTTTCAAAGCATATGCATTCATGTCTGCTTTCCATAGAAATTTTTTCTTCAAAGAAATGAAAGGCAAGAAGTATCATCAGCTAATTTTTCAAATTGGCCCCAAATATTACAATATTCTATACAGT